AATACACTGAATGTATACATTATAATATAACAATATAATTCTGCACTGAATATCAATTATGTTAATTGCACTATTAGTAGAAGAATGTAACCTGAAAACCTGACTGCAATATATCTTAAACTAAAACACTAATACACATGCAAGTGTAATGCGTCCGCGCGCGTGTATATAGGCTACGCGGGCGCGTCGGGGCTTTCAAAGAATTTGTCTGCGCGCAATGTGTGCGCGCGTACTGTCTCGCGCGCTTTTGCTCGTGCATTGGCAAATGAGAGCGCGCATTCTCTAAGAAAATAGTAAAAACCAAGACGCAGGATTAATGGGTTTCCTCGATCGTGGCTATTGGTGTGTTTATGTGTCCAGTTGATGTGTTGGGGGATCTACAGCCGAGGGCCGGTCAAACAATAAAGGGAGAACAGCAGACGGACTCACTGTCACTCTCACTGTTTCAGGTACTGGCTATACTTACAATCTACGGAGCAGTGGGCAAACTGACCATAAATGCGTAAATAAACTAGCCCGTCCCAGAGAGTGAGGCGTTCCTCTCGGACTTTTTTCGATCAATCACACAGACAGTGGCTTCTTTTGATTAAACCCCAAATTGTCATTGGACAGAGGTAATCATGTGACAAGCAATACGGTCCAATTTCAACCTTGTCTCCATGAAAGCAATAGTTTAATGGCACCGCGGTCCCCATACGGCCGTAATCAGCAAAATAGTTTTTTTTTAACCCGGCACGATATTTCATTTTATCTTCCTTGGGTCACAAATTTGTGAGCGGCGAATTTGGAAGACTTGGAGGAGATGAATTACGAATTCGAGCGAGAGACGGGTTTTATCAATAGTCAGCCGTCGCTCGCTGAGTGCCTGACATCTTTTCCCCCTGTCGGTGATGCATTTCAAAGTTCATCAATCAAGAGCTCGACGCTTTCACACTCGACACTGATTCCTCCTCCTTTTGAGCAGACCATTCCAAGCCTGAACCCCGGCAGCCACCCTCGCCACAGCCGGCCCAAGCAGAACCTTAATGGCTCATGCCCGCTGCCTGCCGCATCCTTACCCCCAGAGTACCCTTGGATGAAGGAGAAAAAAGCATCCAAAAAAACCCAGACAACTTCGACAGCAACAACCACCACCGACCCTGGTCCACTATACTTCTCCCCTCAAGGTATTTGGATTTAATGCAATTTTATTGTTTTATAGTTTATTTTAAACGAAATGCAAATTCTTCTTTTAGTTATTATTATTATTAATTTCGATAGCTGTGTTGCGCAAGGCCATGCTGCTTGAAAGTGCAAGATAGTTTGTTATCCTCATGGGTCATGTGAACTTAATGCTAACAAGTTAATTGCTAGTTTTTGGATGCGGAGGATCTATCCTGAACAACTCCTAAACTCTGTGTTAGCTACTTGTAGTGTAGGGCATGAATTTTAATATTTGACAGTAATGAAGAATGATAGATTGCCATTACTCAACTCGGCAGCTGGCGTGTTCATTAATCTTCACTCGGACCTCTCCGCACTCACACCAGACACATCAGTATATTCTGGCATAGGGGATGAGGACACAAATTATTCAAGTGCCGTGGCTCCATTCCCACAAACAATTTATGCTCCCTGAGAAACGCAATATATTTGACAAGTTTGTGGGTTCAGCTTTAAGCCCCACAGCGGCGTTGTAAAAATCAAGAGTTATAATTAGTGGCGTATCAATAATGTATAACGCTGTGATCCCTTCATAGGCTCGCCCGAAATTTCTGATGGTGGCAATGGGGCAACTCGCCGACTAAGAACGGCGTACACCAACACGCAGCTGCTGGAGTTGGAGAAGGAGTTCCACTTCAACAAGTATCTCTGCCGGCCAAGGCGTGTGGAAATCGCCGCTCTGCTGGACCTCACCGAGCGGCAAGTCAAAGTTTGGTTTCAAAACCGGAGAATGAAACACAAACGGCAAACGCAGTGTAAAGAGAACCATCACGGCGATGGAAAACCACCGAGCATGGAGGAGGCAGGCGGACGGGGTGATGGGAAATCTTTTTTCGAACAAGTGGCAAACAATGTATCAGGGGCGCTTTTGGAAAGAGAAGGTTATCCATTTCAGCAGAATACTTTAACTTCTCAACAGTCACAGAATGGACACAATAGTGATTCCCAAAGCGCAACTGTCTCGCCTTTAGGTAGCAATGACAAACATCCGAAACATTTTCCCAACCCGTCACCCACTGTTCCTATCTGCGCCTCAACAATGGCCCCGGATTGTGCATCTGCTCAGGACAATGGCAGTCCCTCGGCCCTGGACGTCTCTTTACAGGACTTCAACGTTTTCTCCAACGATTCCTGCTTACACCTCTCAGATGCCGTGTCCCCAAGTTTGTCAGAATCTGCAGACAGCCCCATTGGTTTATCTACGGAGGCCTTTGATTTCTTCTCCGAGACGCTTACAACAATCGACCTGCAACACTTGAGCTACTAACTCTAACTGAAGTTTCATTATAGGGACGTCAATATCTTTCTCACATTGATGGTCTGTGTGTTTAATTGTGACTTTAAAAATAGGCCTAGACCATTAATCAATGAGGTAAGTTTTTCAATAATCGAGTGATAAGTTTTGTTTACAGAGAAAATATGGCAGGAAAAAAAAGTGATATTTTTCACGTTATATTTTTGTACCGTTCGCCGGCAAAGCGCCATATTTTCATAGAATAAATTTGTACTTGTTATTGAAAATAACAGCGGTGTTATTTATTTCTTCAATATTCAGATTAAGAAATAAGAGGTTACTATTAAACGAGGTATAAGATTCAAAGTATATTACTATTCTATTTTGCTGATTTGTTATGATAATGTGTATTTACCTGTTTTATGAGGATTAATGATTTTTATTATAATTTTTCGAGAGACAAAATTAGATATTTACAAGGCTGCCAAATGTATGTTTATAATCGCTAATCAAAACTAATATCAGTTATCCCGAAAACTATTTGTGCGCAAAATTAATACGCAGTTAGGTATGTAATTGCGTGTTACATTCTTTTTATGAATCTTTCACAATCTTTATTAATTTCCCTGTAGCCTAGTTGGCGTTAAATTTAGATTTTTTTAACAGTATGAAATGAGCCCATGGGACGTTTTAGATGCCATCAAATTTGTAGACTAAAACAGAATCCCTCAAAAAGGAGATTGATGACTTGATGATGCGTACACAAATAAGTCCCTTACTGTATCTGACGACACAGGGAGTCTCCTGGCCAAGAGTTGTAACGTTTTGGAGTTCAGCAATTACATTTTATTGCCTATTAAACCTTCGACAGGGGGTTGGTGTTGAGGCAGCACTCCCCGTAATTCAATCCGCCGCCGAGAATGAGAAGGGAATTCAACAGTCAAACCACATTTTAACATTAATTATTTAGTTTATATAATTTATTATAATGATCAGTTTAGCTGCAGTTTATAGATTTAATTTACATTTGATGAATGCAACTGTGTCCCGAATCAGATCAGTGCATCTAATACAAGAGTTATCAAATTAATTATCGTTTTATCAACAGGCAACGCTGCAAGGAATGATCTGACAGTATAAACAAACTTAAACCTGCGGGTGTTTTCTTAATATTAATATTTATACTTTTAAATTCCAAATAGTCTGATATCTGAATAACTAGCTTAGCTAATAAACAATCTCATTTGATTACCTCGGCCTGCTCTCATACGATCTGAATTCTATGGGCCTGTGTGTCCTCTTATAAGACGAACTCGATTGATACCCGCTCGATGTTACAGTCTTAATACAACTCAATTGTAATCTTTTTTTCGACAAGCCAGGTTCTTGGCAAACGCTTTTCACCCTTTGCACAATAAAAAGCCTGTCAACACCGGTTTTATAACCTTTAAGTTTAACAAACACATTTGAATTTAGGTAGGCCTATATTTATTTTAAATTAGTTTTTTTTTGTAAAGTATTTTGGCACTGATATTTGTCCCACATTAAATGAAACTACAAATAATCACAAAGTAAAATAAATAGTTTCACCATCATTAGTTCGTATCCGTGGCTGGTTAATCGAGTTTAATGATTATGGTGACTCGAGCCACTTCTGTTACTCCATGAAGTGCAAGCTATAGGAAATTCTATTGTAAGGATACTAACACAAAACTGAATGTATAAAAGACGACTTCAGTGGTACCTCGAGTCGAGAAGAGTGTTCTGTGAAACATAGCTTCGGAGAAATCAAGCTAGGATAATTTCCAAACATCTGACGCCACGTTGCAATCGCTGCGTAAGTGTTGAAATGGAAATGAGGCCTAGCGGCCAAGAGCTCACACCGCACAGAGGCATTTGTTAGAGACGCAGAATGATCCGAGTCCTTGTATTAGATCAGGCTAACTTTACACCTACACAATGATTGATACACTATAACCACCGCAGACCTACTAATGTAGTTATATTATAACTTTAATCGTGGTCTGAGGGCTTTTCATTTATTAACAAAGTAGGTTTTTAATGCTCTTATCTTCCATTTGGTTTATTAAATGTTATATTTAGAATTTTCAACCATACACAAAAAGATGTGTACAGAAAAGCCCCTAAATCGCATTTAACAAAACAAAGCTCAAAATCATTAGGGCTCTAAAGGCATAGTGCCAAATCGAGCCTGAACAAATAGCTTGACTGACGTCCTTTGACAAACAAACACGTGATCGGCATTCTTTAACCAGGTTAAAGACTGAGTTGAGATTTGGCACAGAGAAGTGATCAACATCCAACTAGCTACCCAAAAGAGATTTTTGCATCATAGGCATGCAGGGAAAGGCTTAGAATTACAATACAAATTATTTTTAAAATGTTATAATTAATCTTCTATTACAATTTTGAAAAGCCCTGAGTAAAAATAATGTAAATATGTATAACTGTAACCGTCTCATTGAAGCAACTTTTTACATTCTACACATATACATTTTTGGAAGTCAGCTGTGTTACCACTTTTGTGGCAGCACCCCATTTTTAAAGCTGTGGTTGTAAAATAGAAAGATAAACCAAATTTGCCTTTCCATAGTGAATATTCATCACAATAACTCATATGAGCCACTACTAGGCACTGGGTATCATTGCAGATGCATTTGCTAAAATATGTTATTGCACGGACGCTTCAAGTATAATTATCTGCTTACTTATTAAAGACTGCCATAAAGTTTGACAGTCACATAACTTTCATTATCCTACCCAAATTGAACAAGCAACTTTGCATTAATGCAAACTGACGTGAAACCATTTGGTATGCATCATATGTACATGTAATTCGGGGCTCCTGCAACAATGTTATTTTCTCAAGTGATTTGCAGCATAAGTTTATGGCTTTGGTTAGGGAGCCTGACATATTTTTGGTCATCCCAGCATCTACAAGGATCGATGAACAATCTGTGTAAAGTAAAATTCCTGTCCCGACAGCTATAAAATGCTTAAAGAGGAAAGGCCTACACTGTTAGTCCACTGACTCAGTCTGTAATGTCTATGCAGGCATTTAAAGTCAGTGCAGTCAGCCATCAACTGGTTTCCATGGAAACCTTGCATTTAATCTTGGTGGTCCCTTTTGTCATTCCTATGCAGGTCGGCTTCATGCAGATATTCTGAGGGTAGAGTGAAATTAGAGCAGAAACACTAAATATAAACTGCAAGATGCATGAAAATGCAAACCGTATATATTAATTTTAAGTGTGCAGTTATGTAATGCTTAGGAATTCTTCACTGAAAAATCTGTTATCATTTACCCACTCACATGTACTGACTCTCTTTTGTGAAAAACAAAAGAAGATATTTTGAAAAATGTTCAATGTTGTTTAGGGCTCCACTAATTTTCATTGTATGGACAAAAACAGTCTTTCTGTGTTCTTCTGAGGAAAAAAGTCTTTAGGGTGTGGAATGGCATGAGGGTGCATAAATGATGACAGAATTTTCATTTTTGAGTGAAATATCCCTTTAAGGGTTCAAACCTTTTAAGGATCGGAATCAGATAGAATGGCTCAAGTAGAAGGCCAACCACAGCAACACCACAGAATACAAATGAACAAATTAGCTCTATGAAGCATGATATTATCTCATAGATCATATTTATGGAATTCCTGAGGTATGCAATTACTCATCTTCTAGTTGCACTTACGTGGTCTGCTTCTTAAACATCTCTTTTCATCTAACATAAAGAGTTTTTCCTCCTGCGGCTGCAACCGAGGCTTCACTATGTAATGTTAAATCGAAACACTGCAAAAGCCTCATGAATATATCTACAGTAATTAATAATCAAAGAACCAAATCCCTGTCAAAGAGAAACACAGGTACAACGGTTACAAATGTACCTTTCTGATGTAACTTATGATTGATGCATTCTTTTGTTGACATTAGTCATTAAACATTAAATGTAAACTCAAGGTTCAATCCAAGGGAGCCCAGACTTTTTTTCTTCTTCTCCAGAAACAGGCGGTGAAAGTGGTGTCAAAAGACAGTTTAAATGTTTAAATGAAAGCTAATTCTAAGTCTTTTAAAAACAACACCTGAGCAGCCTAATCCCTCAAAGGCCAAGGGGCAAAAACACCATCTCATCCATCACAAAGTTGAACTTCACAGATACCCCTGCACCCTACAGGCAGTGTGAATTACAGTGGCAACAGTGTGCCCTCAGATGTTCGGAGGCTGTTCAGGTGGTCTGATTCAGATATGACTTACCTGTCACATGTCATAGTATTTGCTGGTGACCTCGCCCATCTCAGGTATGTTTTCAAGTCTAGTATGTCTTCACGTGGCTGCCATAAACCTTACATTTCAGTATTGTTTTGGGCCAACGAAGCAATTCTTCTCTACCAGCTCTCTGAAACAAAACCAAAGCAAAGGAAAATGTTACAGGCTCAAGTCACAAGGCTTGCAAGAAAAAAAAGGGAATGATTCAGAATGTGGCAGTCAGTGGTTTCCATATGCACAAGCATGACAGTGCTGGCCACCACAGAGTCATGTCGACCAAAAATAATTAAAATATTGTTTTACCCTAGAGAAAACAACAAAGTATAATGCTAAAACTCTGGGATGAAGAGAAGTACAATATGTCTAATTTAATAAAGATGATGATCACTGGTTATGGTGATACTGGTGTAAAATGCATTTAAACACTCACACACATTCCTCCCTTTGCGGGTTGGGGCCAGAAGCTGAGACTTGTGAACTGAGGTGAGTCCAGATCAAACAGGCTCGGCTGAGGAGCATGAGATATGAAGCTGCTCCCCTCTCCTTTAAAAGGTCAAAGGGCACTTCACCTCTCTTTCCCCCTCCACACCAGATGGATCTGTGGCCAGGTCAAATGAGGTTCAAGCAGTGCTCAAGCCGAGCGAACAAGCAGACAGGATGTCAGTGTTGAATATCAGCCAATACTTTCATAAAGTAAAATCAGCCTTTTATTGTTTCATTTAAGTCATTCCTATGAATAGCTGTATTTGCTTAGGTGCATAAATATATCACAGCAAGGCTTGTTCACAAAATATGGATATAATTATAATGTGCAAAATAACTTGCCGTATTCCTTTAACAAATATTTTGGACTCAAAAAACAAATTCCACTCCTTATCATTTTCTAGGAGAGGTATTTTGAGAAGGTGACAGAGTGCAGGTCTCCTGGCAGGGATCTGTTCTCTGCAGTAATCTCTGTGAAACAGCAGAGGAGCACAGAGAGCGCGCACAGAGCCAGATGGAGATGGATAGCAATGTGTTTTCCTATGAAAGCTGTGCATCACATTCTTCACCTGTCTCACTCCTCAGGATAAGTGGACTCCACTCCAAACAGCAGGCCCATCTAAAAGGGCTGAAAGGTCCTTAGATCCTCTCACTAAAATCCTCTATTGCACCAGCAGTGTACAGAGGGCAAATAAATAAAAAAAACAGGACATTCAGCAGTTACTTACCAAAGTTTGTAAATGAGGATTGCCTCTTTGGCTAAGGAAGTAGTGAAGCTTCTTGAATCTTGAAGATTCAGATTAGATTAGATCATCTGTTTTTTCCGCTCTCATGCTAATAAAAACATCAAAAGTAAATATTATCACAGTGAAAGTGAATTCGACGAATAATGCAATAAAATTACTTATGGAAAGTGCATCATTCCTGTCAAATCGTGCACATAAAACTAGATGAGGAAACGTGTGATTCCCCAGTGTCCACTGTTTGGGGTGAGCACTCTAGTCAAATGTTTCTGCTGGAGCAGGCGTGATGAATAATAGTGTCTAATTTGAATAGTGGTTTCTGCAGGGTAGGCTATTGCTTCTTCCGTATTTCATAGTCCACTTGTAACTTCCGTGTTTCGAAGGCTATCTTACTGGGTCAAGCGGTTTATTACAATGAGATCCATCCCGGAAGACTTGACGGCACTCATTTCAGGTACTATCGCAATATTTGATAATACAACAGTTGATAAAGCGAACGTTTAGGTCTCGAGCGCAGTCGGAATAGAATAGATTTTTTTTGTCTTCAGTTATAAACTCTACATTTATTTCGTTCGTACCTCGTGAAAAGAGGAAGTTTAGTCTACCGACAGACGTTGAGAATATTTCCCTGTAACTTAGTTAGAGCATAAAGTGGTCTTTGTTTACTTTTTTCTAAAGACGATCGAGGCAGGGTGCGAATAGATGTTTTGTGTTTTAATTACTAAGTCAACAATAGGTATGAAAGTAGAGAGTTTATGATGCTAAGATTCAACTGCAGATGAAATTGCTATTTTTGTTTTCTTGTGCAGTTTTTTTTAAAGTTTGAGAACATACCTGTGGGAGACTCCAGCTTAATATGCTAACGATGTTTGAACACGTAGATAGTTGCCAGCTAACGTTACGCTAATTAGATGGAGTAAGGTTGTTATTAGCTGGCTGGCCAGTTACAATGTTACAAAAACAAAACAGGTTGATAGTAGTTGTTTCTGGCTAAAGACCAGTTTAAGATGTGTTTTCCAGCAGGGATGTAGCCTTGCCAGTAAACTAATCAAAGTGCCATTAGTCTGGAATAGTCGAAAGTTATGTTCCTCAAACATGAAGTGCACCTGTTTGCATAAACCTAGGCTACTTGAGTTGAGGAATTCAAGAAGAGTGAAAAATGGCAAAAAAAAAAAAAAGAAGCTACGCTTATAAAATAGTGTCTGTTTTCAGATCTGGAAACTTTTTTAACCGATGTCCTTAAAGGGGAGAATTTGAGCAAGAAAGCAAAAGAGAAAAAGGATGCCTTTATCAAGCGCATTAAAGATGTGAAATCGAGGTACGACAGAATGTATTCATGTAATAGCTATTACCTGATATGTTTGTGACTCTATGCTGATAAAGTATTCAACAAATCCAAATTATTTGTGTTCCAGCTACTCTCAAGATTTCAAGGACGAACGTAAGTTTTGATGTGTTTGTATGTTTGTGTTATGTGCATGTGTCTGGGGGAGGGGCTAAAGTTCAAGCATGGTGGAGTAAACTAGTACTTCCCCACTATGTTGTAGGCTACTGTGTGCTTCACTCTATCCTGCTGCATCATAGTTAGCATTCGTTTTGTACATGAAAACTTCAACTCTTCATATGTAAACATCTTTGCATGACAAATATATATAATACACATACACGATTTCTCTTCTGATGGGAACACATGAAAAAAAGTGCTTTAAAAATAACCTTTAAGTCACCATTTAACTGTTCACAGATCAGTTTCGTGTTTCCTACTACAAATTTAAGGTTGAGATGTGGGTAGATGGCTGAGTTTGGTATAGCACATTACAGCCGAGCGGCACTATTACCACAATTTCACAATGTGAACAGGAAGTTATTTGCTCAAATTCAACATGATGGCACAAACATATGCATAATTTTTGCTTTGCCATCATCTTTAGTATTAATTATATTGTGAGGGAATGTGATTCAAACTGGCTATAGTGTTACAGGAGGTCTGTTTATCTAGCATATTAAAGGAATAGTTCAGCCCAAAAATAAAAATTTGCTGAAAATGTACTCACCCTCAGGGCATCCAAACTGAGCCTGTTTATTCATCGGAACAGATTTGGAGAAGTTTAGACTTGCATCACTTGCTCACCAATGGATCCTCTGCAGTGAATGGGTGCCGTTAGAATGAGAGTCCAAACAGCTGATAAAAACATCACAATAATCCACAAGTAACTGACACCAGTCCATCAGTTAATGTCTTGTAAATCTGCATGTTTTTAAGAAATAAATCCATCTTTATTTTTTTTACATAAACCCTTTGCTTTGGTTGTACTATCCATAATATTGCTTTCTCTAGTGAAAAAGCCATCTTGTCTGAATCAGGAGAGAAATATGAACACATCAATCACCTTTTATCAGTGAAAACAGTCCAAAACAGTTCTAAACAAATATGTTGGTGGATTTGGATGTGAGAGGACAACAGGGGATGGACTCACTGGAGAAAGCAGTATTAAGGATTATGGACTATAATGGAGTATTTTGACCAGAAGCGACAATTTATAGTTAAAATGCCTTAATGATGGATTTGTTTCTTACAAATCCTTAGCTTTTCACTTTACAAGGCGTTAAATAAAAGACTGACATTGTGTGGATTATTGCCATGTTTATATCAGCTTGAACTCTCATTCTGATGTCACCCATTCACTGCAGTGGAGCCATTGGTGAGCAAGTGATGTAATGCTAAGTTTTTTCCAAATCCATTAAGTTTAAGAAGCATCTACATCTTGAATGGCCTGAGTATATTTTAAGCATATTTAAATTTTTAGGTGAACTGTTCCAGTGTTCCGTTAATATTCCAAATTTCTGCAAAGCGCGTGCCACTCAAAGGCACCATGTCCAAATTCCTGTGCTGTCAGATATCATATCTACAAACAACATAGCCTACATAATATCTGAAGTAGACAGTCTTATTGTGTCTTGCTGGTGGAGGTTTGAAAACGTGGCCTTTTTGAGAATGCTGATGAAGACTCTGTTGTGTAGGAGATGAAGAGCTTCCAGAGCCTGATGAAGCGGACACTAACGACGGAGGATCACTGCAGTCAGAGCAGACTGACAGAGATGAGGAAAGCGCTTATGATGGTGAGTGGAAAATTGTGTGATTTATTTAAGTGTTACCAGAAAAGAGAAGCATGGAGCATCTGCAGTTGTTTTAGGAGAACTTTAGGAGCTTTAGGAGATTCCTGTGAGACAGGAATGCCATGTGACATTGTTCTGTACCCCTGAATTCTCTCCCGGAAGTCAAAAGAAAAGTTTGTTATTGTGAGTATTATGAAAGAATCGCTGCAATCTATTCTGTACACAGATTGCATGTACAGAATTCACATAAATGAAGAAACAAAAAGCATTTCTCTCTCCGCTTATGAATGAATCAGTTATCATCTTTTCTGCAGCCTCAGCTGTTATAACACAGTATCATTGTGGCAGTCCTTTGTCATGTCCTGTCTAAGATTTTTTTAGTAGTGGTAGAAGAATACAAAAGCTGAATGAGGTGCTTGAAAGACTGATGTAACCCGGCAACAGGCTCAGGAACGGTTTGAAGGCACAGACGTCAAGGGTTTAGCTCTCTTTTGTCTCTGAGCAAATGGTTTATGGTCTGCAGCCCAGACAATGCCGCCCACAGCCAATGTCAATTCAGCCTTCTGTTTTATTAGCGTCTGCTAAATGAATGCTATTGGTAGAATTTACATTTAAGGAAATCCAGTTCATCTGACTCATTTCGAATCATGCATCATATCTGATTATTGCATTCAGAAACGTACATTATCGGGAGGGTAGGATGCAGGCCGAGAGTGGTTTGTGTGTATGTATATGGTAGGAAGAGGTTTACTGCTGTAGTGCAGTCATGTGTTTTATAGGTCCTTTTGCCCTGTGCTTGCCAGAGAGAAGAGCTGTTTAGCTCCAAGATGGGATTGAAGCCTGTTAGTGCACACTGCAGAGCCTAGGCGAATCAAAACGGCATTTGGAGATTGACCAAAAAGTTATTTGAGACTATTTATTTTGGACAGATGTACTAAAGCAAGTGAAGTTATGAGCTTGTGCAACCATAATGCCGCTATTTGGTTAAAGGCAGGGAGTTTGTCATTTAATGTGAGATTTTTTTTCATAAAAAAAGAAAGTCAAAACAGACAGACACATCTCACGCTGTATTTGTTGAGAGTCAGAGGCTTTGCCTCTGTTAAAGAGCTGTGAGTTTTTATTCTATTTATATATTCAGTGCATTAAAAGGAAGCTCATTTTATAGCAGAAGGTGAAACTTGTTGCCATTGTTTATTTACAGCCTTTTGCAATTGCAACCTCATTCGCTACTTATGAAGTTAGCATTGTAACATAGATAAAGATCATTTAAAGGGAGTTCATAGTACACATTTTCAGTCATGACTTATAGTTATGGGTTTGTGTAACAACATTACCATTCAAATGCTTGGGATCACTATGATTGTTTTGAAGAAACTGACTCTTTTATTGAGCAAGGACAAATTGATCAGAAATGACAGTAAAGACATTTATGATGTTACAAAAGATTTCTATTTCAAATAAATGCTGTTCTTCCAACTTGATCTCAATCTCAATTTCCACACTTCTTTAAGAAACACAAACATGTTCAACTACTGTTAAGAACGGCTTCTTGATTGTTACCAAATCAGCATATTAAAATTATTTCTTAAGGGCTATGAAGAAGACTTGGCTGCTGAAAATTGAGCTTTCTTGTCATCAAGAAAAAAATGTCTTTTTAATTATATTAAAATAGAAAAACAGCCGCTGTAAATTGTAATACTGTTTATAAATATTGCTGTTTTTGACTGTTCACTTTTTCACTTTTTGATCAGATAAATGCAGCCTTGGTGAATATCAGAATCTTCTTTTTTTTTTAAATCTGTGAACAGAAGTATATATAATAATTTTTTGTAAATTGTATTATTTATTTTACCTTTTCACTAAGGAAGATGCAAAAATCAAAGTGATGCTCTGTGCCAACGAGTTTGTATTTTCCAAAATGTAATCTTTTTTAATTGTTTTGCCA